AATTCATCCTCCTTGATATAATTATCCAGTCAGATAGCTTTTTGTCGAGCTGTTTTGAAGTTTCGTTACTCTACCACCAATGAGGGTATGACACATTTTTTGTCCTTACATATTCCGTTTTTGAACAGTGATCTCTGTAAGGACTATAATTATACATAAGGTTGAAATTCATCAGGTTCATGATTTTCTTTTGAGGAAAAATCGTGAAACATGATGTATTTCACACAAAATACACTGATAAAAATCATTTTTCTCTAAAAAATGAATGTTAATTTTCAATCGTTTTCTAAACGATTGAAATTGAATGTTTCAAATGTAACAGTAATCAAATCAAAGTAATCGAATAATTTTTGTTTCGCGAAATAATCCAAACCGTTGAACTGAAACCAAGCAGAAGTATGAAAATAATGTTAGTTTGCCAAAAAATCGAAATCATGAAATGAAAACAATACAGAAATAATCATACTAATAAAATGATCATTGATATTCGTAAAATGACAAAAACCACAACAGTTTTTGCATGAAAAATTCGAAAGTAAGCATATATAATGAAACTTTTTTTGATTTCTTAAGTCATTAGGATTAATCATGGCTACACCTATTTATTCATACTGTACGTATTATACAATTTGTACTGATACCATAGGAAAACTAGACGATTCTAACGACTAACAATGAAGTATCACTTTCATTGTGAAAACAATTAAATATTTAGTGTGTTTTGAATCATGAGTTTCATATTATTTCGAAAATTTGTCAGAAAGAATATAAGTTCAGTACCATCGAAAACTAGTACGATGCTTCTTCTAAAATTGAAAAAGTTATTAGGTTTTTGAATACTACATCAATGTGACAATCATATCATTCGTCGACAAACTTTGATCGACAGCATTCCGTCGACACTTTTTTGTCGACATACATTCGTGAAAAAGAGCATCACTAATGTTAAGAAGTACCAGTCTACTTTTTTTTTTATTTAACCAAGTAGATACAATAGAAAATAACAAGAATGTACATGTAGGTACAGGTGTGGTAGCAGATGCAGAAGTAAGTGTGGACATGAATACAGGATAGAGGTACGACAATTTGAAGAAAGTTCTAAACTGATAATCTGTTACGGAAGACGAGCTGATCTGAACTGTTGTAACGTCTCAGCTCACATCACGAGTTGTTTAAAGGAAATTCAGTAATGAAACAGAGATGTCCGGAGCCCTTTGTTGTTCTGTTCTGAGACTGAAATGCTAGCAGCTCTATTGGCTATACTAAAAGTATTAATTAAGATGTTAAGAAATCATGCATGACGCTAGAAGCCTTTCCCCAGATGCTAGGGATCATTTGCGATATTAGAGATCACCTGGCATGCTATAGCCATGATCTGGGATGCTGATAGCGTCAGCCAAGTTGCTAGCAACATAGCTACGGATCCTCCTATCATCAAACGTAGTGTCTATATTATCCCAGCTAATCCCATAGAATCTCAGTCAATCCTCTAGCATCCAAGCTAATTCTTATAGTGTCTCAGATGATTCTCTAAAACTCTAGCTGGTGTTTCCAGCATCACGAGTGGTGCTGCTAATACTCCAGTGTCAAGAGGAACTAACAAAGGTCTCAGGACACCTATGTTTCATTATCAAATTTTCTCTGAACGACTTGAGCAGTTCTTTTGGGTCTGAATTGATCCTTTGGAACAACTCAGTAGCTCGTTTGAACTGAGTTCATGAGCTAAAACTCTCGTAAGTCTAGTGCAGTAGCAGGTGTATGTGTGCGGACAGGTATAGATGTATGGATGTGGAACTGTGAATGTGATTATGATTTTTGTGATAAAGTACTCTCGGGCAGTCATGTGCACCCAAGTGCATGCGAGGAAAACTTTTGGTTTTTTTAGGAATGGTAAAATCATTTCCTAAGTTGTTACATTGTAAGAATAAAGTATTTCGTAAGAAAGAGAAGAAATGCATTATCGACTAACAGAGTTGTCGACGAAATGAATTCGACAAAGTATATTGTCGACGAAGTAGTTGTCAACGAAACGGGTGTCGACAAAGTTTCTGTCGACAAAATGTCTGTCGACAAAGTGTGCTGTCGACGAATGATATGCAATTCTCATGGACGACATAATTTGGTAATGTATTTTTCAACGTGTTTTTAACAAAATGTTCATGACATATGATTAAATTCTTGATCTAACTAAGATATAAATTGCATAGAAATAATATAGTGCAACGAAAAGAAAAGACTGTTTTTTTTCGAATCATATGAAGAAAACTATCAAAATAGAATAACTAAGTCGAATAATTCCTAATTTTAAGAAATAATATTAACACTATCTTAAACAATAGAATAGAATGTCACAATCTATTCATATCTGTCTTTTTTTAGAAACCAACATTTTCTAAAACAAATCATTCGTATTAACAATTCAATGTATAAAGTCGCACCTAAACAAACACAGAACTAGACTACTTTTACTGACTTGTCAAAGAAGATATCAATAATTGTTGATGATATAATGATTGATGAAAATCATCTGTTATGTAATTACATATATTGACAACAAAAAGCTGTCTTCATTATTCTTTTTTGAAATATCAAGAGTATTGCAATTAGATAAAATAAACATAATTGAAATTAAAGAAAAAAGAAAAGTTATTCGAAAAGTAACTTTATCAATGAAGAAAATCAGTATGTGTCCTTAGCAATGATTTATTCTGTAAAAAAAACTTAATTTCTATTAAATAATTCAGACAAAAAAATTCAATTCAATCGGTTTTAATTGATCTTTTTTTCATGATACCGTTACATTGAAGTATTCTAAAACTAAAGACAAATATGAAAAGCTGTATTGTACTACAGAGAACAAGTGCTATCTTTCTTTTCAATAAAAGTTCAAATACAGATGACAATTGATTGAATCGTATTTTCTCTATGAAATATCTTGTCTATAAAAAAAACTAGATAAAATCTCTAGAATTTCCTTTTTGATGTTGATATTATTTTGTTAGACAAGTGAACAAAGCAAAACAAAAAAAAGATTGTTGATTAGTATTAGTTTTTTTTTCGATTTTGTTTTATTTTATTTTCTGTCAAGTAATTATCTTTGTATCTTGGGATTTCAAGTATCGTATGTTTAAAAGATGCTCAAAGAAGTCAAGAGAAAAAGAACTGCTCTTCAGGCATAAATTTGTCATTTTATGACGTTTATAGTTGATCTGACGTGCTGTTTTTTCTTCCCTTAATGATACTTAAATGAGAAAAAAAAAAGATAACAATTAATTCGAACTAGTAGTTGCAGATGAAAACTATTTATTCTCTTTCGATGATTTTTTCTTTAATCTATTGATATCAATACATAGATTAAAACAAACATGCATCAAATAGAAAAGAGATCTGAATTGTTTTGATCATAGTCATTTTTGTCTAATTATTAACACATCATAGAACTCATATAATCATTTCTGATGTTTGATTATAGTTGAACAAGTGCATCAAACAAGAATAGAAAAGGCCATTGGCAAATCGAGCTTGTTGACATTTATTAATTTTACTTGATGTTAGTGATATATGTATGTTATTCGTATTGTTGTTGTTTTTTTTTTTTTTATAAAGGATGATGATTAATCCTTCCAATATGTATTACTAGTATTTAAGTAGCGCAGATTTTCTCGAACCAAAAAGAATATGACAAAGAAAAGAACAAAAACAACAATAATATCATCAATAAGAAAGAAGAAGATGAATCGTATTGATGATTATGGTAATGTAGCGGTGGTACCACAAGCATTTTCTAATTAATAATAGAAGGCCAAGTTGTTGGTCTTGACAAGCAAAGGAAGAAAAAAAAAAGCAAACTGTTTGAAAATATCTTTCGTCGCATTTTTCTGCTCTTGTCATAACCATCCTCCCAACAGTCTCTTTCTCTTCGATTGATGACTCATAAATACACGGAAAAGACGATGACAAGAAAGCTATGTGGCATTCTTTCGCATCGTTAAGCAATCGTGACGATAATTCGCACAATGGACGACTGCCATAGTCAGAATAACATCAATAATAAGACAAGAAAAACGACAACGTATGCTTGGACGCTAAATAGAGGAATAAGTTAAGTGTTGTTAATACAATAACAGGTAAATAACATTAGAGCTAAATCGTTTAGTTATTAAATAATAGGTTTTTTTCTTTCTGTTCAAACATAACATTACCATTCATTCACATTGTTCGTAATCGAAGTTTTGTCTACTCATATAAAACATATTGGTACTTGCAGTTTCCGAGAAACAATTTTTTTTCATACGGGAATAGTAATAAATACACAAGACAAAAGGAGAGAATTCCCTTTTATGGTTTATTCTCTACCTGCTATCCTCTTTCTTTTTTCATTTAGTTTTGGCCCTAACAGCATCGTTCAACAATGCACATAGTTACGTTTGTCACTCATCAATGCTCGTCGTCAATTTAGATATATATATATGTGTATGGTGTGCGTGTACGCTCATAATAGAGTTGTAAAGATGATCGATGCGGCAAATTGTGGTTTTACTATTGAGCGTCGATAATCTAAACAACAACGGTACTCTCGCTTCCTTACTTATTCACTCGTCTTCCTTTTCCTTCTTTTTTCTTCATATACGTGAGAAGACTAACTGTTAGATAGACATTCAATGAACAAATTTGTTCTTTGCACGTGAACACATATATACTATCTGCTCATCATATCTACTCATATTCATTAAATACTATTCAAGAAAACGATTATCGTCTTTTAATGATACATTCCATCAAGTTAAATCAAATGATCGGGTATGTAGTCTATTAACAAACATATATCTAGTGATATGAAATGAAGTTCAAATCATATTTTAAGAAAATATATTCTGAAGACTACGAATATTTATTAAACGTTGTCAATCAAAAATTCATTTGTTTTTTCTGTTCTTCTTTCTACTAGTTATTTAATTGTCCTTCTTTTTCTTCTATTGCCATCAAATATTATTGCCTTGATGAATTATAAAACTGCTTGTGAATTATTAAAACTTCCACGTGATTGTCATTGTCAACGTACACGTGGTGTACCAATATCATCATTAAATGAAACACGTTTACGATGTCGTCAATTTACTAAAATAACTACTGATTATCATTGGTCTATTGTACCATATGATCGTTTAGCATTTGAAACTCCGAATGATAATTTAACATTATATCGTTTAGCATTTGCTGATATTCGAGCACGAACATTACGTTTTAATGTTCAAAATCTTTTTTTAAATGATCATGCATTTGAAAATGCTTATATTGGTCAATTAGCTATTTCACATACAGATAATGATGGTTTAATAAATTTTGAATTAAATGGACAAATATTTTATGGTACAACAATAACAAATATATATATAAAATCAATTGATTTTCAAACACAAATATCTGAAATAATATTATCAAATGCAAGAGTTTATAGATTTTTAATTGAATCATCAAAATTTTATGGTTTTACAAATAAAAAATTTATAATTAATCAACAAAATGAAACAAATTCTAAAAATAATAATCAATATGATAATTTTCTTGAATATGATACTATATTAACAACAAATTCATTATATTTAACAAGTAGTCAATCATCACCATTAAAAATTCATCGAATGAAAAATAAGAGAATTATACGTCAAATATTCGAAACAAATGATGATAATTCATCATTACCTGAAGAAACTGTTATGGTTAACATAACATCAAGTCCTCGTCCAGCTTTTGTAACAATTTATACAATTCTATCAAGTATTAATACCACAAATTTAACAGAAAATTTTTTTCCAAATAATTTAGAATATCGTCAAACAAATGAAATTGAATTAAGTCATAATTATATTTATTCAATAGATGCATATGCTTTTCGTCATTTACAATTCTTTGAAGGACGATTAATATTAACTTATAATCATATTCAATATATATCTCCATATGCATTTACTTATTTATATTCATTAAAAAATTTATCATTAGCTAATAATTATATTCAAAATTTATCATTAATACATTTTGAAAATTTAAATAAATTATATGAAATTGATTTAAGTTTTAATCAAATATATGATTTACGTAATAATATATTTCAATATTTATATAATTTACATATATTACATTTAAATAATAATCCATTAAAATTTATTGATTCAAATGTATTTACAAATTTAATTCATTTAAAAGAACTTCATTTACAAGGTATACCATTAATTCAATTAATTGATCCACAATATTCACATTGGATTTGGAATTTAGCAAGTTTACATGTAAATTATGTACCCAATACGAAGTAAGATTAATATAAGAAAAAAGAAAAGTTAAAAATAAAAAAAAATCAATTTTGTTTTGATAAAATAAGAAATAATCGTATGTTCTCAATAAGAACATTTATGTTATTACATTTAGCTAAACAAATTAAACATGTTGTTTATTGCCTGTGTCATAAGTATTTTTGGTCGATTTACATTACAAGGACATATTCTTTATCAACTAATAAATATCTTGCCTACAACATAGTTCTCTATATAATGATTAAAAAAAAAAGTAACTTTACAAGCATAAATAACTGCTTAATATATATATATAGAATAGTTTTTCTTAGAAGAGAGGTTAGAACAGGATATGAATTCTATCGAGAGGAATGAAATAACGATAGGTTCGAATGACTCCGACAAATGAAACTCATCATAAAGTCGGAGATCATAGATATATATATATGTAGTCCATGGTTAAAGTTTATTGATGCATAAGTTACATCGAACAATATTATTTCTTTTTATTACCAAATATCAAAAAAGAAAAGAATACTAACGAAAGTATTCTAATAATGAATATATATGATAATATATATATATGAATAATATATAACCCTATAAATATTTCTTTTATTGAATTTACAGTTTTTCATAAAGAAAAAGGGAAAGACTTTTCTAATTTATTAATATCACTTTTTTTTTCTTCGGTAGAAGAAAACTAATAATTAGCATCATTAATAAATCTTGAAAAAAAAAGAAAATTCTCAAAATAATCTCAATTGACATATTTTTTTTTTCTATTGACAACAAAAGTCTTTTCCGAAATAGAAACAAAAAAAAAATACATAATTGATTGATTGCTTCTAACAAAAGAATGAATACAACAAACGTATATAACTAATAATATTTCATACCAGCAATTAACATCCAGACAACATCCTGTATAAATAGAAAGAGTATTAAAAAATAATTCTTTATCTTTTTTGTTTCTTCTAGTTTTGCATTGAGTGATTTTACATTTTGTTTATTATCACGTTTTAATGGAACATTTTTTCATGTAAATCGTCATCTTTTATGTCCATGTAATGTTTATTATTTATCGTTTAATTCTGATATATATTATAATATCACATATTCAACAGTAAAATATTATACAAATTATTTACGTATTACACCAATATGTATTCTAAATAAAACTATATCTAATATTGAACAATATCAATATGATAATGAACAAATACAATATTCAAATAATAATACAAATTTTATTTTTCGTAGTGGAGAAGATAAATGTAATTATAAATTAATGTTTCTTGATTGTGATGCTATGACAACAACAACGACAACGACAACAACAATTATAACTACTACTTCAATAGAAATGACAACTCTGTTAGAAATGACATATACTGCAGAAAGTCTTCTTCATACAACACCAGATATTCCAATATCAACATCAACACCATGGTTTGTTTTATTTATTATTAACATCTAAGAAATCAATTATTAATTGTTTGTTTTCTTTTTAGGTATTTTAAATATACGAAACCACCTAAATCAGTAAATAATGCAAAAAAATTATTTACTGTACTTGGTACATTAATAGCAATAACACTTGGTGCAATTATTCTTGTTATTTGTTGGTATCGTCTTAAAACAATATATACACGAAAAGAAAAAAGAAAAAAGACAATTGAACAACAAAGAAATTTTAATTTACCACCAAAAAATAATAATAATGCTCTTTTAACGGCACCACGTTATGCATCATCGGATATGTTAAGTAGTGTATATAGTACACAGTTAGCCGGCAATACAAGTCAATCACAAACATTGATTGCACCAGCATCACCACCATCAATTGTTTATAAAAATGTCGATGCTATAACTAATGATGCAATTCAAAATTATATTGATGAAGAAAATCAACAGCAACAACAACAGCAACAGAAAAATTTAACAAATGATAATACAACAGAAATACAAGCAACCACTCAATGTTAAATATTTTCAAATAAATCTATTGTATTCAATTTACTTTTCTTTTTGTGTGTGCTTTTCTTTGAAAATTTAATAAAATAATTAATATAAAGTATTTGATATTTAACTAGTGAATGTTAGATATTATTTATAGTGTAAAATGCAGAAAATGGAAAATTTTTGCATGAATTTTTTTTCTCATTCATTTGTATATGATTTGATAGAACCTAACGAGTTGATCACGAATATATAGATTTTATTTCGATTCGACACGCTTTTTTGGTTGAAAAACATCGCTAAAAATTAGAAGGACTAAATGCATAGCATGAGAAATTATAGATTTACTTTTTTTTTCACAAAAATTGTCAAATTTCAATTACGTTATATTTTCAAGCCTCATGAAAACATTTTACTTCAATTCAACATCAAAACCTAAATTAAATATATGTTATTTATTTAGATTTAGAATTGATAAGATTAAAAAATTCTGCTCAATATAGATATCTTCAACATAATACTTCATAGCATGAATTTGTGAACCTTCTTCTAAACATATCCAGTTTTTCATAGAAGAAGATAGATACAATTGTCCTTATGTCATAGAATTGTCAGGTTATAAACTACAAAGTACTTCTTTAGGTTTTTTAGATTTTATTTTATTATTGAGAAAATTGAATTCGTATTTCATCTGGTGACCAAATCAAATCAAAGAATGAATATGCACTCATACTTAGCAATGTTTATAATTATGATTCAGCGAAAAAACGAAACTGAAAATATAGTCGCAATAATATCAAAAACTGCATCGAATCATTCATATTTTATAGAACTAATGTTCCCGTTGCAAAATAGACTTATGATCCCTCTCAGGACTATTCGTCTAAAACTTTATTCTTAGTCGCTCAAGGGTTGATTTGTCGTATAAAAAGAAATTTTCTAAAACATATATGATTTGATGTAGCTTTTGAGGTTGATTTTGAATATACTATTTATTTTGCTTGTTAAATGAATCATTGTTGTAATAATTTCTAAATACCAGTACATTTTTTTTATTCTTTAATCTGATTTTGCCACCAAATGAGAAAAGAATTTTATTTTCTCAATAATTAAATGGAATCTAAAAAAAAATTAAATGTTTTTGTAGCTCATGATCTGAGACATGCTATGAGACATGTTGAAACTATCTATATTTTGTCAAAATCTTTCTATCTTATTAATGCTAAACCTAAACAAGTAACATCTTGCTAATCAGTTGTTAATGCTGAATTAGCATATGTGTTCTTTTATGAATTATGTCCATTTCTATGAGAGAAAAAAGAGAGTTTATAATTTCGAATGTTACTTATTCAGTCATTCGAGTTTTTAAAGATTCTTTTTTTTCAATCAAATAGTAGTCCCACAATGAAAACAGACTATGTGTTCATGACTAAATCGTCAAACTCAATCAAATCATACATAAATCAACGAGAAAAAAATTTCACAAATTTTGCATTCTCTGTACGAATGTAAAAATCAATGCCGAAATGGTTTGTTTCTTGGTACATGATTGAACAAGACAAAAGATTAGATTATTCTATTTAGCATTCTAATAATTGAATCTTTATTAAAAATATTCGAATTTTTTCATATGAGAACTCCATTCTCAATTATAAAAAACAATTTATACAACTCATTGTAAATAACAAAAATCTATTTCAATTAAAATTTTATCCTTGTATTTTGTATGATATTAAAATATTTCTCTTTTTTTTTTTTGTATTTCTAAAACAGTATTGTATAACGCTTGAATAATTATTTGGTCTGCTAATTATGATAACCTATGGCCTTCAAGTGTTAACACTAAAGAATTACTCCTTTCTAGGTCACTGAAAGACAACTAGTCACAGTTAATTAGAAATAGAGCTTTTTTCTATTTCCGAATATATGCTTAGGTTTGTCTTGTGAGACAAGACTCAACTTGAGAAAATTTTCAGAATACTGTCTATACAGAATAAAATAATGATTTTTGTGTAGTTCTTAATTTATTTCTTCGAACTGTTTCAATTCAACATTATTATAGAGATCTGATTTCTGTGTAAAATGAGATATTACAATAAATAAACTATCTCATCTATACATTTCCACTACAGAGCTGATTTCTTTAGAAATCAGCAATCGCTGTTTCGAAAATTACTTTTAACAGTATAAAAATTTTGAAACCTGTCATGTAAGATAAACAAATCTGAGCTATTAAAAGTTGTTTCGCATTTAGAATTCGATAGGTTTCAATTGAAATACAAAATTGATCACAAAAAGTATTTTGTATAATCACTGTTTTGAATCTGTTGAAACAATCTGATAATAGCTGTGTTATCTTATTCTAGCAGAAAAATTCGGAACATATATTCGGAAAAAAAAAAGTCAAAAAACAAAGTCCGATTCGATTCAACTGTCTTGATATGACCATAAACGGAGTGAATATTTTGTACTAAGACTTTCACGCCATAGGTTAAGTCTGTTAACTTTATGGAAATCAGATTTATATTTATCTAATTAAAGTTCTTGAATTTAGTTTTTTTGTACAGTAGAATATAGATTTCTAAATAATTTTTTTCTATTCATAATTAGCTCCATAATTGATTTTCAGTACAAATTGACGACTGTCTTGTTTAAATACAATTCCTGTATGTTGTCGACTAATAAATATATTCGACTATTTATTCGTCCTTCATAGTTAGTAAATACGAACTATCTCACTTAATACAGTCGTATAACCTTAGAAAAATGATCAAACATATGTCATTTCCAATCTTTTCTGAAGACATTGAAATGTTTATTTACTATAATGGCATGTTATTCATCAGTCCGATTAATAAGAGTTTTGTTGATGTTTATGTTTATATTAATTTTGCCATACATCTTACAATCACTTTTAGCCTATGATATATTATAACCACGAGACATTCATTGTATTGATGATCAAAATATTATGATATTGACATTAACTGAAGCAAACTAATTATATCGTATTTTTTTGTAATCATTGACTAGCCAATCAAATTTATAATAAAATTAAATATTATCATTTGATCGTTGATATAGATTTTAAGAGTAATTTTCACGTTTCAATGAAATCGAAACAGTTATTACCAATCTTATACAAAACAATGACTAATCCTCTTGATATGTTTTTACTTATTTTCATATCGCTCAGATAAAAAAATGATTGATAGTTATATTGAATTTTATTTTCATTGTTTGGAAAATGACCTATTGATAGAATTCTATTCAACATTCTTATTATTAATAGTTATGATTTTATTGAGTCTAATTTTGTGAAATCTACTATAACCTAATATGAACTTCAAATATTTAATTAGATAAATTATTAGTATTCTTTCATTTTCTACAACACAAAAAAAAAAGATAACTTAATGTGTATAAAGTTTAATTTGAAGTCCATTGTTGATGTATCTTCAACTGTACGTTATTCTATTTATTTTGAAATTTATTCTTTAAATTATATTTAATTGATCTCATATTACTATTTGTCTTATTTTGATCAGCCTATAATAAAAAAATGCAATGAATATTTAGATAATTCAACAACTGATTATTCAGAATCAAATAGTTATCGAAAATAGTAATAGAACAATGTCTGTCTTTTATTTATGAAGTAAACATGTAGACGAATGTGTATAATCTGAATTTTTTTTTTCTTCATTTATATTCGAAAAAATAGAAAAAAAAAACGAAATGTAATATTAGAAGTAATGTCTTCTATTATCATAATCGTAATTGATACTGTGTAAAATTTTAGAATTAGAAATGATTGAATTCACTATATCGTATTCACATTAAGTAGGAGTAAGTGACTATTTTATCATAAATTTTATTTCATAATTAAAATATCTATTTAAATAAAGATTCGTTTTTCTTTCCTAATATATTTGTATTTATAATAATAACAAGAAAAATAATTTAAATAAAGCACAAAAAAAAAAGATTATTCTTGTTTAAATGTCATTTCGTAATGATATACATATTTTTCAATCTAACTTAACATTTAATGTTCATTGGTAAAGATCAATAAATGAAAATTTCACTATCTCTTCCTACATGAGAATATTACAACGAAAAAAAAAGAATAGAAGACTTCAATTATTTTTCATACTTTTTTTTTCTCTTGAATTTTTTCATTTAGACAACTTTTTGCATTTAAAAATAGAAATTTTTTCTTTTGTAAAACGATGATGAAAAGTAAACCGAAACGAACAAAATCGATTAATAAGCTTTACAAAAAATATCAAGTTTACCTTGTTTTTTTTTTTGATTTGATTTTCTTGCTTCTACAATACATTAATGTGCATATGCAATTAAACGATGAAGAACAACAAATGGAATATTATAGTTTTGTTATTTGTTTATTCAATAAACGTACTAGATTTTTCGAAATGTGACAACAATGCATTTATTCATTTTCAGTAAGAGATGCAGTTTTCAGGCTTTTATATTGTTCTTCACTAAACTTTTGGTACGACTGTTGTTGTTATTATATAAAATGAAAGAAAGAAGAAAAAAAATAAGCAGTGCAGATCCATTTGCATCATTTTATTTCAATGAGGCTCTATTGATCAAACTATAGACATTTGATGATATAATCAAATTTCGTATTTGTATGTGTAGATAGTTTCTTTGTGTGTGTATATATATGTTGTATTTTTAATCAAACATTGATCACAATTTGATTTAGTTCATTTGTTAAATTTATTTTGTCTGTTTATAATTGTATGAAGGCGTTGTACTATTTTAATTGTAAGTTAATCTATTCTTTTCTAATCAATTGGTAAGTGTGTGTGTGTGTGTGTGTCTGTATACAATCTAGTGCATTGATCTCTATTTGTAATCTTACTAGTTACTATTGCTGGTGTCCTCTGTCACTGATATATCATTCTCTAGTTAATCCTCAGCAAATGAGACAGGCATCGAAGGCAAAAAAGAACGACATCGTACATTGTCCATTGAGGATAAAACCAATAGCCTTC